ATTTCTAATTTTCTTTCAAAAATATCCACATAATCCAAATTTTCACTAATTTTCTCCAAAATTATTTTCAATTAAATTTTTCATCAATTTTATTTCATTTTTTACTCTAAGTTAAATAAAACAAAATACAATAAAATAAAATATATTAATAAAATTTATATTTATTAATTATTTAATCACAATAAAAAATTTGTTGGTGTTACACCATCCAAAATATATTCACGCATAATCCTACTATATGATAATCTCTATTTAGATTTACTCAAATTAAAAGAAAAAAAAAATAAAGTAAGAGAAAGAAAAGAAAATTTAAACTAATTAATTTAATAATTTAAACTATATTAGTATTTATTTATACTTAAAAAAAACTATTTAGTAATTAAATTTTTTATTAATGTAAGATTATGCTAATAATTTTACTGTTTCCGTTATATTTAATAATTGAATTTAACAGTTAAAAAAGTTTATAATAGTGTATGAAACTTACTATTTATTTTTTAAAATTAGGATAAAATTCAGAGAATTTTTTTTTTTTTATATAAAATTACAAAATCAATTTATTTAAAGAAACATTTTATAATAATTAAATGACAGAGAGACCCGCTTAAGAGAGGTTGAGCAGAAATTTGAAAAAGAGTGAGAAGAGAAACAGAGAGAAGCATACACTTCGAGAGATGCCGGTGAGCGGGAAACCAAAAACAGCGAGGCCGGCGTTGAGAGATTTACCAAATAATGCTAGAAATGGGAGATTTTCCTCTAAATCTGCAAAATCGAAGAAGAAACTCCCCGAGAAAGTGATGGAAAATGAGAAAGAGAAGAGTCTTGGGGCTAAAGAGGAAGATGATGGCTCCCTCGACCGCCTCCTTCTTGTCCACTCTAATCTCTCATCTCTCAGTAGCCAGGTATCCCCTGAATATTTTACTCTTAACTGCTTTGTTTTTGAATTACCTAAGAAAACCCGAGTAGAAACTCGTAAGTGCGAGATTTCCCCCCCAAGAAATGGGGAGAACCAGTACTGGAATCTCTAGCGCTGAAAAAGTCTATGCTAATCCTGATTAGGAGTCTGGGACTTCTCATTTGGGTGTGGGGTCCCTTCTCCTCTCGCCTGGTTTTCTCCTTTATGGGGAGGGAGTCCCCTTCTCCCGGTCTTCCTTTCCTTCAGTTTTGAATGAGTGAGTAGTTTTTGGCGAAAATCCACTTTAGCTCTAGTCTTCTCCTTTAAAGGAATAGAAAGTATAGTTTGCAATTTGATTTTATGGAGTCAATCAACTTCCCCAGTGTTTGGACGCACAGTATGATGTTTGTAGATCTCCAGGATTTCTTACTTGAGAAATGTCGGTGGAAATATTGCATATAAATGCTTAATTAGAAGAATTTGAAAAATGTTTATGCGACTATTAATTCCAAGACAACTTGATAACGTGATGCTTAACATTAATTAAAGAAAATTAATATGCATTGTTTTGTTAAAATTCAGTATTTTCTATGATTAATAATCATGAAGGAATGGCTAGTACATGAGTCAATATGGACTAATTTATGCAAGGTATAGTAACATGGTTGTTTTCCTCAGCAGTAAGCACACTGGCAATGCCATCAGTGGAACATTTTGCACTTGCATATGAAATACTTGAATGAGAAAAAAAAAACAATTGCAAGTATGGATGCTTTTAAAGCATTCCTTGGGAAAGGACTCATTGATGGCAATACCAGTATCCAAGGATGATAACTTGGTCATCTTGAATGAGCATGGTGTTGCAACATCTGTATATTGTTTTCACCAGCATGTTCTAGATATGGGTTTTAGAACACTGCCAGAGAGTTACTTTTCTATCCCTGTCATTTCTGGGGAAACATACATAGTCTAGTATATTTAGTTACCTTATTGTGAAGCTAACTTTGATTTAATCAATGTTTTGAATGGCAGATTGATGAACTTGTTGTACAAGCAATTAAACTAGATGCCATGGGCAAACAAGGGAGGAAAGAAATTGAATCTTTCACATCTATTTTGTCTGAAATGCTATCCTCTTTAGAGGTTAATTCTTTGGTTTCTTTTGCTTTATTCGTTTATACTTCAATATGACACTTGCATGCATCCAATGCACACTACTTTATGGATTATTATGTTCTGTATCTGCAGCCATGGGTCCCCAGATTTCAGAAGGCACTTTCAACTACTTCTAGGCAGACTGAGAAAGAGTTGGAGCAATCATTGGCAAGTAAAACTGTTTCTTACGAAGTCAAGGCTGAAGTTAAAAGTCCAGAGCAAATAAAGCTGGACTCTTTAATCTCTCCTTCTCCCCTTGTATCCTGGCGTGCTGGCTGTGATGTTGAGAGAGGTAGACAACTGTTTCTCCTGACACCTCTTCCAATATCAAAAGCATTATCTTCCAAATTGCAGGATTCATCAAAACCTGCATTTGAAAGGTTTCCTTCCACTGCTACTCAGCTAAATTCACTTGCCACTATTTCTAGAGAATCCAATGATCCTTTGCCTGAAGGTTCAGAAGTATCGTCCGCTTCAAATAAGCCTACTGATTCCGCTGCAACTGTGGCAGGAAAGATGCTAGAAGATGGATTTCTCTGCTCACCAACATCCCAAAGGAAAGACCACAGCATGCTTGTCATGACTCCGTGCTTGAAAATGTCTCCTCCTAAATCTTGCATATTGCTTGAACCTCTTTTTGAGTCCCGTTATCATGGCAATAAAAAGGTTATTAGATCAACCCCATATCCAGTTGGAATTCATAACTCCAGTGACTCTCAGACTTCTGAATCCTCTGGAAGTGAATATCCTGGGGCTTTGGCTTTAAAATATCCTGAGCTTTTAGGAATCCAGCATGCTTATAAATCAGGAATTGGGAAGAATGACATTGAAACTTCACCAGATTGGTCATTCTCTCCTCCTAAAAGTTGTGCTTTGTTGGAACCGCCGGATGAGAGGTCAATTGAAAAAATCGACAACAAATGCAACTTGCCAGTCATCTCTGATATCATTCAACCAATCGAGAATTCTCTATCCAAAGCAAATAATGGTACAGGTGATTGCCAGAAAGTTAGAAATTTCAATAGCTTTCTCTTTTTCTTTTTTTAAAATTCTGTTTTATTGTTATGATAACATTTAGTATGCTCAGTTAGCATATTGAACACGATTTAGTAAAAGGTTATGCTTTTCTTACTACAGAACCAGCTGGAGGCAGCTTAGCACTCATTAAAAGCACTCCTCTGTGGAGGGAACCAGAAAGGACAATTCAGACAGGCAAACGGCCTGGTGAGAATACTCTAAAGAAAGAGCTGTGGACTAGGTTCGAAGCTGCATCTACTTATGGGTTTCACTACAATGCCTCTACATCCCAAAAGACTTCAAAGAAAGGATTCCTCGACATGCTGGAAGAGGCTTTTTGTGATGGAGAAAGTTCAGTGCTTGATGTTTCAAGATAACGAACCTTGTTTGCGTGTTCTTTGTATCTATATTTGATCATACTGGTTAAAATTTACTGTGTATTGGTGCATCTTTTAGTTCAAAATAATACATTTTTGTAATTCCTCTCCCAATCATATTTGTTGTGGTTCATATATAAACCGACAATAGCCATTGTCAACATCCAGAAGGGAGCCACACAGAGGAAAGATTTTGTTTGAGTACTTGTGCAATAGTCCACTACAGTAATTGGTTCTACCAAACTTATGAACAAAAGCATCATCTCTTCTACTGAGCTTAACGTTACTAGTACATTTATATTGCTACAAAGAGATATCATAATTGAATTCCACATAAAGTAAGTTAAATATGAGTAAATTTTAAAAATATTACTAAAATTTAGATAAGCCATCAAAACATAATTTCATTTTAGAAAATTATAAAAATATGATTTCTGTTTTCATAATTTAAATTTGTGATACTAATTTGACTTTTAAGATAATTAAACAATACATATATATATTTCTAGATTATGTAAAATATTATCTTTCCAACAAGTTTTTAGTTTCTCCTTATGCATATCTTTATCAATGAGGTCTCATTATCTTTCTTTTTCGAACTAAAATGTAGGTTAGATTAAATTTTTTGGTGAAATGAAAATTTTGAAATCAAACATATGATGTCTAGTAAAAAAATCAATATTTAACTTATAATAGATAATTATAATTACTTTACGGAATTAATTTTTTGTATGTAAAAAAATAGTTCACTTAACTGTAATAATAATAATAATAAACTAATGAACCTAAAATATAATATCACGTATAGTTAATTTTACACAAAACCCTCCACCAACTATGCTCATAAATAATGTTATACAGTAATTTTGCTTGGACTAGTTTCGACATTGGGTTTAAATAATTTTCATTTAGTATAGTTATTGTTTCATTACGTGACAATTTTATAAAAAAGTTGATAATTTACATTACAAATTTTTAAAAGAGTGATACTTTAAATAAATATTATTTATCATACTACTATTCAAGCCATGCAAAATAGTTTAATGTGCAATTGATTGATTTGAAGACTAATTGAGGTGATTTGATACTTAAATGTGTAATTAATTGATTAGAAGACTAATCAAGAGGATTAGTAGATTTTCAGGTTAACATCTTACATTACCACACACTTCTCTTCTCCATTACTTTCTATCTTAACAAAAAAATTTATATACAAAAATTTCCTCTTAACAGGTTCTTGTAACAATTTTCATTCTCACAGTCTACTATGCTACGATTAGAGCTGAATCATTAAGTCTTTGATTGCTCATCTACTAATCAGCCAAAAAAAAAAAAAAAAAAAAAACCAAATTGCAACCATTGAGTCCTTTAATTGCCTGCTGTATATTCACCATGAAAGTGGCAAAGGTTCTTGAAACGACGGCATTAACATCGCTTGATCGCTGGAAACCACTTGAAATGGCGGTATTAGCATTAGTTGATGATCAGGAACCACTTGAAATGGTGGCATTAGCATTGGTTGGTATCCAAACATATCGCAACTGGTAATAAAATTACCAGAGCCGCCATTGTTGATTTTCTCATTCTCTGAACAAAAAGCTTGCAGACTACCCATATTATCATTAAACCCAGTCACCGCAAAATTATCCGATGGAAGTGGTACGTTATTTTTATCAAGGAGCAACTGATCTCTTCTTTCTCTCAATCTTTGCAGGGTGAAATCCAGGCGACCCATCATATTCATCAATTCTGATTTCGGCAATTCATCAAGCCTCTGTTCCGAAGTACAACTCTTTGCCTCCTTCACTCCATCGATCTCGCTCTTCTCTTCTTGAATTTTTCTTTTCTTGGTTTCCAGAAAAGACGAAAGATCGACGTTTTCACTCCCTTTTCCTTGTCGAGGATCACGATCAACACAGTTCTTGTAATTCATTACAATTTGTTTTACCTCCGTAGGATTCTCCGGCCAGGTATCGAGCTTACCGTCGGGAGCGAAACACAAGACGGAAACAGAGACGTCGGCCAATGTCGCAAGTTGGTGAGCCTTAAGTTTTAGGGTTTGGATTCTCTTCTTCCAGCTTGCGTTTCTGGCATTGTTGTTAGCGATGAATTGAAGAGACCGGTTTCTCTTGTTGGTGGGATTTGGAATTGAAGTTTCCATTGAGAAGAGAGTAGTAGAAGAGAGAATGAAAAAGGGGGAAAGACGCTCCTGTATTTATTCCCCAGATCTTGAACTAACGGCTACTTTTTTTGTTCCCGCTCCAGAAGAGAACAAGGATTGTAAAACCGGGTCAGACCCAAAAGCTTTTCTTAAAGCCCAAAGCGTAATAAAATAATCTGTGGACTTAAAAATTTAAATGGGTCTTCTTGCTCATTGTTTAAAAGATTAAAAATTAAATTAAAATGGGCGTAAATAAAATTACCTAACCTTTCAATTAAAATCTCTTTTCTCTCTTCTTGCTCGTTGTGAGACTCTTGCTTCGGCTCAAGGTTTCATATCCAGATTATTGATGATCAGGGTGGATTTAATCAGGTAATTTAGCTCTTTATCATTTTCCCTTTTGGGAACAAAAAATGTTGAACCTTCATACATGTGCATTTTTATTTTCTATTTTTGATTCTTAGTATGCACATGGATAATTTTTAATTTATGGTTTGAGCTTTGAAATTGTTGTGCCTTACTGTTGAGTCAAAGGGTGTCTGATAATTTCTTTTTTAAAAATGGGTATATGTAAAGTTCTGGGTTTTCGAAAAACTTCTAGTGATTGAAGTGTGTTTCTTATGTTAATCAGAAACGAGGTTTTCAATTTATGAATCTTGTATGTTAAAAAGAAAATCACATTATAAATAGTTTTTCTTAGCTATCAAAATAAATTTGGAACTGACCTATATTGTTTAACAGTCAGCCAATGTCATCTCTCGTTCTTATTTCAAAAAAAAAATGTCATCTCTTGTTCTTGTTCCTTTTTTTATTCCTTTTGGAAATGATATCCTTTAATCTTTACTTAATCTTTAAAGGACTCGTGATTTTACGGAGTTTGTCGAATACTCAATTTGGATGCTCAGAATGATGTCCGTGGATCGTGCTCCAGGATTTCTTACTTGAGAAATGCCAGTTGAGATATTGCATGATAAATGCTTAATCAGAATTGAAAAAGTTTATGCAATTATGAATCAAAGACAAGTTGATAATTCAAAGTAACAATATTTTCTTTGATTATAATCATGAAAGCTTGCTGCTACATGAGTCAATATGAACTAATCTAAGCAAGATCACAATAATTCAAAGTAACAAGGTTGTTATCCTCGGCAGTAAGCACAGTGGCTGCGTCATCAGGGGAACATAGCATAAGAATGCCTTCAATGAGCACAAAAGTAATTTTGGATATGGATGTTTAAAGCATTCTTCTGCAAATAGGAAAGAACGCTTTTATGGCAACACCAGTACACAAGGATGATAGCTTGGTGATTTTAATTGAGCATGGGGTTACAATGTCTGAATGTTGGTTTCACCAGCATACTCTAGATATGGTTTTTAGAACATTGCCAAATAGTTATCTTTTAATCCCTGTCATTCTGGTGAGTATATAGTCTAGCATATATACTTACCTTATTATGACGCTAACTTTGGTTTAATCAATGTTTGAATAGCAAATTAATGAACTTGTTGTGCAAACAATTAAACTAGATGCTATGAGCAAACAGGGGAGGAAAAAATTGAATCTTTGACGTCTGTCTGTCCAATATGCTTTCCTCTTTATTTCTTTTGCTTTATTCCTTTATGCCCTAATGTAACACTTGCATGCATCCACTGACACAACTTTTGGTTATTATGTTCCATATTTGCAGCCATGGGTCCCCAGATTTTAGAAGGCACTATCAACTTCTTCTAGGCAGGCTGAGAAAGATTTGGAGCAATCATTGGCAAGTAAAACTGTTTCTTATGTCATTGAGGACGAACATTTTGAAGTTGAAAGTCCAGAGCAAATAAAGTTGGACTCTTTAAGCTCTCCTTCTCCCTTGTATCACGGCGTCTTGGCTGTGATGTTAAGAGAGATAGACAACTGTTTCTGCTGACATCTCTTCCAAAATGGAAGCATTTTCTTCCAAATTGCAGGATTCATCAAAACCTGCATTTGAAATGTTTACTTTCACTATTTCTCAGCTACAATTACTTGCCACTATTTCTAGAGAATTCAATGATCCTTTTACCTCAAGGTTCAGAGATTTTGCCCACTTCAAGTGAGCCTATTGATTCAGCTGCAGCTGTGGCAGGAAAGATGCTAGAAGATGGATGTTGTTGCTCATCAATGTCCCAAAGGAAATACCACAGCTTGTCATGACTCCACGCTTAAAAATGTGCCTTCCTATATCTTGCATATTGCTTGAACCTGTTTCTGAGTTCCGTTCTCATGGCAATAACAAGGTTGTTAGATAAACCCCATTCCCAGTTGAAATTCATAATTCAAGTGACTCACATACTTCTGAATCCTTTGGAAGTGAATATCTGGGGCTTTGGCTTTGAAATGTCCTGAGCCTTTAGGGGCCAGCATGCTTATAGATCAAGAATTGGGAAGAATGGCATTAAACCTCACCAGATTGGTCATTCTTTCCTCCTAAAAGTTGTGCTTTGTTGGAACACTGGATGAGAGGTCAATGGACAACACTTTGTATTTCAGGAAAAAAAAAAAAAGAGGTCAATGGACAAAACTGGCAACAATTGCAACTTGTCAATCATTCATGATTTGGTTCAGCCTATGGAGAAGTCTCTATTTGAAGCAAATAATACTACTGGTGATTGTCCGGTAGTGTAGAATTTTTGAAGTTTTCTCTTTTGCTTTTTTTTTTTTCCAATTCGTGCTTTATTGTTCTCATAGTATTTAGTACACTCAGCATATTGAATATAACTTAGTTAAAGGTTATGCATTTCTTACTAGAGAGCCAGTTAGATGCAGCTTATGCTTATTGAAAGCACTTCTCTTTGTAGGGAATCCATACACCAGTACATAACCATTTCTACCACTAGCTACTGATGACAAATACAACGACAGAAAAGAATCCATAACAAATTACAGAATTTAATGCCAGCTATCCGAGTGGAAATAACAAGAATTTGAAATGAAAATCCTGCTAGCTGAGTCCAATGTGCCTAACCTATCCTCTTGCTAATTCAGTTACCCATTTTAGGCTGGGCCCTCCTTGAGTAAACCAACAGTGACCTGTTGGTACCTTTCCCAGTTTTTTTCAGCTTGCTGCCTTACCCTTGCTATAAGTCAGTCCTTACAGAAACCTGTCCACCCTCTTTAGGTATTTCATATTGTTTCACTAGATATTTTTATTTTTGAAAGGGAAACAATTCTAATAATTAGTTGTTTCAAGGAATGTACGAACTCTAGATTTGAAAACTAACACGATTTTCTTTTGAATCAACAAATAGTTTTTCTGTCCCCTGTTACCAAAATAAAGATGGATCAGTTACATGAACAATTAAGTTGAAGGCTGGTTAAATTTATTGGTAAAGTACTTGATATATTTAGGAGAACTGAATCAGGTAAGATGAAAATTATTTCCTGTGTCAGATTGGTGGGGAGTAAGTCATTAACTATTGATATTCGTTTTAGTTGTAAGTATTTCAAAATATGATGACCTTCCAGTTTATTCCAAATGCAGTAGAAGTACTGGAAATGTGAAATGACGTGTCCTTTCTGATTTATTTTCAGGTTTCAGCTTCACAAAAGCTTCAGCGCTTTATGATTTATGTGCATGAAAAGGGAATAATAATTGATGATGTATATGTTATATTGGGGTCAGCCAATATAAACCACCCTCTTTGGCTGGTTCAAGAGACACAGAGATTGCCATAGGCGCATATCAACCCCAACATACATGTGGTCAGAAGAAAAGGCATCCACATGGCTTTGTTCATCATATTCATACTTCCAGTTTATCTGATCATATACCATACTGCAAGCATTAAAGTTGTGATTTCTACTCTCTAGGATGTCAAAGAGCGAGAAGCAAATTTAGCATACCTTGTTTTTGATTAAGCATTTAGCATAGGCTGGTTTTGATTGAGCATTTAGCATCAGTCCATGTCTAGGGCCATTACAAGTAGTGAAAGAAAAAACATGATCAACTCAAGTAATTACTCTTATCACAAGGCCTATTGGAGATCTTTCTTGAAAAGTAGTCTGATCAGGTGGCTTCTTTGCATTTACAGGTTTTCGGGTACCGAATGTCGCCGTGGGTAGAACACACGGGGATGGTGGATAATCTGTTCAAGGAGCCTGGAAGTTTAGCCTGTGTGAGTGTGAACAGGATTGGTGAGGATAACTGGGAAAAGTTCACCAACAATGATTTTTCAAAATTGCAGGGGCACCTTCTCAAATACCCACTTGCGGTAGATAAAAATGGCAAAGTAAGTCCTCTGCCTGGATTTGAAACATTTCTTGATGTTGGCGGCAAGGTACTAGGAGCTCGTACAATTCTTCCTGATGTTCACACTACTTAGGCTCTAAGTTTCTCCAGTCTGAACAATTATTGGAATTCGATTTCATCCAAATTGTAAAAAGAAGGGCAAATTGTTGTCTCCTATTAGAAACATATGCCTGGTGACACCTACCAAAAGGACGCAAGGGAACCAGAAAGCACAATTCGGACAAGCAAATGGCCAGGTGAGAATACTCTGAAGAAGGTGGACTAGGTTTGAAGCAGCATCTACTTATGAGTTTCACTGTAATGCCCCTACATTCCGAAAGACTACCAAGAAAGGATTCCCTGACATGCTGGACGAGGGTTCTTGTGATGGAGAAAGTTCACTGCTTGCTGTTATAAGATAACGAACCATTTCGTGTATTCTTTGTATTTCTAGTTGATCATACCAACTAAAATAAACATGTAATGGTGCAGCTTTTAGTTCAAGAAAATACATTTTTGCAATCTGTCTCCAGTCTTTTATGTTGTCATGGTTCGTGTATAGGCCAACAATAACAATTGTCAACATCCAGAAGAGAGACACGCGGAGTAAAGATTTTGTTTCCGGTTTTTGGATTTTGCTGGTGCACCACTGTGATTGATTCTAACAAGGTTGTAAACAAAAGCATCCTCTCTTTTATTGAATTAGTCAATAATAGAATATTTGTTTTTGGATTTCACTGGTACACTATTGTAATTGGTTCTACCAAGGTTATGAGTGAAAACATCTTCTCTTTTATTGAATAGAATGATAATGATATATTTATGTTGTTATAATACTAAATTGAACTTTACATAAAGTATACTGTATTGTTAGAAAGACATACAGTAATAGACTCCACAAAATTTAAAATTTAGATTGAACTATCAAAATATAATTTTATTTTAGAATTTTTTGGAGAATATGATTTTATTTCATAATTTAAACTTAACAATAAATCTGTAAAAATACGATTTTTTTCTCTTTTCATAATTTAAACTTAATGATATAGGAATGTACTAATACATTAAAGTGCTTATTTGACTGTTAAAATAAGCATTTTGGTAAAAATAATTGTAGTCCATGCAAAATACTTTTTCTTTCTTAATAACTATGCTGGTATTTGTATTGTGTGTTAAAAATGATAAACTAGCAATTTAGTAAAAGTACTTTTTAAAAAAAATAAAAAAAAAGTATATATTATATATTTAGTAAAAATAAATATAGCAATAAAAATTAATTAATTAATTTTTTAATTTTAATAATATTCTAATAATTAATAACAAAAATAAAATTTTATATTCAGTAGCTTTCTTTTTTTTTTTTTCCTTACGTAACTAAATTACAGGCTTCGACAATAATAATATATTTATATTAACATTTATAATTATTTAAATTCCATCATTATTTTGTTATCATAATATATTTCAATATAAAACTCTATAAAGATAAAATTTATCTTTAATTATTTGTCATAATATATGAATATATTATTAGTTTATATTTACCAAAGTATTTAATAATTATATAATTTAAATACTTAATAATTTAAAAAGAATAAAGATACTCACAATTAATTTGCTAGTTATGTTCAAAAAACCTATTACAAAGTTCAAGGCATGCAGAACAGTTTAGTGTAAACTGATTGATTGAAGACTAATCGAGATTATTACTTGATTACCGGGCAAGCATCTTAGATGATGACAAACCGCAAAATCCTACGGCAGTGAAAGAAATTGAGTTACTTCCGTAGGGTTCTCCGGCTATGTCGGACCAAAACATAACAGACAAACAGAGAGGTCGCACAATGTAGCGAGCTACTGAGCATTAAGTTCAGAGTTGGTTCTCTTCTTTGCATTTCTCGCATCCTTTTACCACCTTCTTCAGCCCTTCTTTAAATTTCAGAGTTGGGATGACTTA